AAAAAAAAAAAAAAAACCTTTCCTAAGTTCTGGTAACTCATAAGGCAGGAACAACCTATAAAAAGTGAGCTGTATTGTTTTAACAGCTTCATGTACTGGTGTTATTTAACATTAATGTTGTTTGTACAATACATTTATTAGCTCATACGTATTAAATTTGTTTGCATAACCACATTAAATCTCAAATAAATTAGTAATCACATCTCTGATAATTAGATAGACATAATGCAGCAACAACAATACAGAAATTGTTTGCCACTGCCTTCTTTTGGGTTGTTTTCTTGATTTCATAATGTTGCCTACAGCCCTGGCATTCCATGGGGCTCCCCATCCAGGACTTGGTCAGAAGCTCCTTCCTCTGAGACATTTTAAAAGGTGCTTAATCCATAGTGATTGATTAATAAACACATTTAAATTTACCTATATGAATAAGTAATTAGACTTGAAATAAATGAACTACCCACATTTTTTTCCAGAAATAAGACACATTTTTTCATCATTTACACAAATTATTCCTTATGGGCAGCATCTTTTTGTGTATTTGCAAAAAAAAAAAATGAACTTTTTTTTTTAAAAGGCTATCATCCTGCACTATGAATCACATCTTTTTTTAAAAAATGCATTTTCCTTTTTCCTCGTACAAGACACGGTGCAAACAAATCATAGTTAAGCTTTGCTTAACATAGGAGGTGTAATGTATAAATATTAAAATCACCCACTCAAAGCTATGGCACAAGTCAGATTTGAGAAAAAAACTTAATGTAAAGCAGGCAGTAGAAACTTCTCAGGTGAGCCAGAAGCTTTCCACCTTTGCCATTCCCTTCCTGTTTCTGCTAGCAAACTCTTACACCTCATAAACATAGGTAGGGTGGATGCCATTCAAACCAAATTTGTAACGCCACACATGCCAGCTGTTGCTGCACCCCAACCAGTTTGGCTTCCTAGTTCAGGACAGCTGCCATAGGAAGATCTCTCTGGTTTCAGACAAACACAAAGGATACTAACCCCCTTCAAACACAGAACACAACAGTATTTGGATGCACTATGTAGTTCTAGCGTCATAATAAAGCAAAATAAGACGCCAACAAAAATATTTAAATCGGTTATCTAAGCTCTGTTTACACAAGCAAAATGAGCCTAGGCTTCAAACCCTATAGAATATATGAAATAATATATCCATACCAGAGATCTGTCTGCAGCAAGAAAAGCATTTATAGAGAAACCATCCAATGACTTCATCTGCCACATTCTCCACTCAGGGATACAGTATTTAGAAGCAGTTCTTGGATGGATCCTCAGATGTCGCTGACTTTCCAATACTTCTAAGAAAGGATCAAGTTGAGTCTGCCCATTCAGCTGGAAGGAAACTTTCTCTGCTTCCATCTCAAAGGACTGAGTTTGGTTACACCCAAGCTGATGGGCAGGCCTACCGAAGCATGCTATGCCCATCCCTGATTGTACAACCTGATTTGATACGGGGGAAGGCCACCTGTTGCTACAACTACGAATCCCAACCTATCATTTCGGTTAGCTTTGTAGATGGCTTCCGACACGAATGTGACTTAGTTTGCTGAGGTGCAGAAACTTGATATCAATAGGAAAACACAAAGAAAAAAAAACACTACATGGAAACTAGAGCCGGGAAAGCAAGGTTTTCTCATCCCTATGTTTCTAGCCACTGGAAATGAGAGATGGTGTCCAGACATTGAATGTGTGAAGACAACAGGGAAATTAGGATCTTTTCTATGTACATCTTCAGTATTTGTCCATTGGTATTTAATAGATGGTAGTTCTTAGGTTTCTTAGCATAGCAGGAAATGCTAATACCTTTTGGTGCCCAGCAAGATTTCTGCCATTCTTGACTTGGAACATTTAAAAAAAGAAATGTTTAATTTTTTAAAAAGCATCAGCTAATGACATTGTTTTTACTTTCCAATGCCAATCAGCTCCACAAGTACTGGTAGTTCTCAGCTTACAACAGTTCATTTAGTAACGGTAGTTCAACGTTACATAGGCACTGAAAAAAGTGACTTATGACCATTATTCACACTTATGACCATTGCAGCTTCTCCATAGTCATGTGATCAACATTTAGACACTTGGCCACTGACTATTGTTTATGACGGTTGCAGTGTCTGGTTCACTGACAAATGCGTGGCGAGAAAACCGCAATGTCAAAATTGCGCCCACATAGGCGCACCGACAAAAGCGCACCATCAACAAATGCGAAAATAACGCAAGAACCCTAACCCTAACCCTTACCTTAACCCTAATCATGCTTCTGTCGGTGCTCTTTTGTCGGTGCGCCTTTGTGGGCGCGCTGTCGACGTTGCGGTTTTATCGCTGTGCTTTTGTCGGCGCGCTGTTGTCAGGCGCGCATTTGTCGGGTCACGGCAGTGTCCCTGGCTCCTGGGATCACCTTTTGTGACCTTTTAAAAAGATAAATCAATGGGGAAGCCAGATTTGCTTAACAACCATGTTACTAACTTAACAACTTCAGTGATTCATTTAACAACTGCGACAAGAAAGGTCGTAAAAACGAGGCAAAATCCAGTTAACAACTATCTCGCTTGGCAATGAAAATTCTGGGCTCAATTGTGGCCAAGTCAAGGAATATCTGTATTTTTAAAAATAAAAATAAAAATGATGGATGGCTGCTACCAGAGTTTTTATTTGGATGTATGCCAGTTTAAAAAAGGATAAAAAATATAAGAGGCAGCACCTAGCAGGAGAAGGGAGATGAAATTATCCCATCTGAATGAGGAAGAGCCCCTATTTCAGAGTAGCTATTGAACAGGGGATATGATCTATTCTCAAACTGGTCCTCGCACTTCCGACTGTTGCAGTGTCCTTGTTACCATGTGATTGCGATCCAGGCACTTGGCAACCAAGTTGCATTTATAATGTTTGCAGCATCCCAGAGTCACATGGTCGCCATTTTGGACCCAGATTGGGCACAAATTGTTGGGGCCAATATGTGGACTCTGTAGACCACTTAGAGAAGGCCGTAAAGCACCATGAAGCCGTATACAAGTCTAAATGCTATTGCTATTGGTGGGCTTCCCACAAGCAAAGCCAATGAGGAAGTTGGAGTTCCTTAATGACTGCATGATTCACTTAGCAACTGGGGCAAAAAGGCTTGTAAAAACAAGGTGTGGCCACGTGATAGTTCCCTTAAGACCACTTCACTTAACGACAGAAATTCTAGTCCTGATT